TCTATTGTGAGAACAAGTGCGGTATGAAGGTACAGCGAAGGCACCTCAGTCAGCATAAGTTGGGCGAGTGCGCGAAAAGACTGGTAGCCTGTCGTTACTGCAACAAAGAATTCGTTTTTGACACGCTCGGTGCTCATCACGCCAAGTGTGGCCGCTTTCCAGTCGCTTGTCCACACCGTTGTGAAACTGCCGTCTTACCAAGAGAAGATCTTGAAGTACACTTAAAAGATCATTGCACTACACATCGCCTATCTTGTACTTTCAAGGATGCTGGCTGTCGTTTTAAGGTATGTCAATTTATCTACGTAAATTATTATATACCTTTCCTATCCGTTTTTGCTTCACAAATTAATATAAAATAATTATGCTTTCTGTTGTAGGGTAATCGATTTTCGTTGGACAAGCATGTAGCAGAATCAGCAAAGATGCATCTAAGTTTGATGTGCAGCGTTGTCACAAAACAACAGCACCAGATAACCAGTCTGAAATCTGCCATTAGCAAACTATCGTTAAACTACACGGGCACGCTTATATGGAAGATCACGGATTACAGCGCTAAAATGTCTGAGGCGAAGGCCAAGGAAGGAATGGAACTTGTCAGCCCTCCTTTTTATACTAGTCAATATGGTTACAAGCTACAGGTATATCATAGTTATAAATTGTTTCACTTTAAGTTAAGTTTTTTGGAATTTAAGCAAAAAGCAAATACTTCAAAAATTCTATTTTATGATAGATAATTGTATTAAGAAGTATTAAATGTTTCAGGCGTCAGTTTTCTTAAACGGAAATGGAACCGGTGAAGGAAGTCACATTTCGATATATATAAAAATTCTTCCCGGAGAATATGACGCTTTGTTGCGATGGCCATTTTCACACAGCGTGTCTTTTACCATATTCGATCAAACAGTGGTTGCGGAGAAGGCGTGCAATATTGTGGAGAGCTTTATACCAGATCCAACATGGAAAAACTTCCAGAGGCCCAGTCGCGAACCTGATTCTCTCGGTTTTGGTTTTCCCCGATTTGTTTCCCATGAAATGGTGAAAAAACGACATTTTGTAAAAGACAATACCATGTTCATTCGGGTGAAAGTCGATCCAAGCAAAATAGTAGCTGTCTGAAAGGATTAATAACATCGAGCCGTATTTTCAATACGTTGTATCATACTAACTCAATTACTATCGTTCCACGTAACACACTTAATATCGTTACGCTACACATACACACACGCGCGCGCACACACACACATACACATATACATATTCCGCAATGTGGTTCATGCGCATTTCTTATTTTTACACGTAATGTCAGTCCAGTAAGCGATTAATGGTACTTCATATTTATTGTGTACTAGGTATGATAGGCCGAAGTACTTTACATACAGAGCACGTGGTACTTACGTCGTGTCACTGACAGTATACTATAGTGAAAATAAGTCAAAATACCCATGAAACCTTTAGGAAACAATAGCGATTTACAAACAAGAAAATGACTGGTATACAAAATATTTGGATGGTCTGAATAGGGAGAACTACTTGCATTTGAATTACTAAAAATGTTCTATCTCTTTGTTGTATTAATAATTACACTGACTGTCTATTCATATAATTTCAAAAATTTAGAAAGATTGTTTGAATAAGTGATTCCATAGTTATTTGAAGGAACATATATATTAATGAAATGGGAACTGTTTATATCGAAACTAAAAATTATTTTATTTTTCATTCATAGTATTAAACACCCTTGTTGCAGTTCCCAATTATTTTCATCCTTTATTTTGTAACATTCGTTTCTACGTTCTCTACAATGAACGTTTCGATTTACAGACTTAACGTATTGAAACTCTGACTGAAACTAAAGCAGATTAATTTTTTCAGTCGATTCGTTTAACCAATCAACGTTAAGTTTGTTAAAACGAGATCTACCTTAAGAATTCAAATCAAAGATTATTAAAGGACTGTGTATTATAAGCTTAAGGGATGTAAATATTGTGAAAAAAAAAGAAACCACGCCGTGCGAGTTACATATTAATTAGTCCAAGCGACAGATTTACCGATGTAAATACGAGTGTACTACACGTTAGTGATAATGAGAAATTGTGATTGAGATGCTAGTGACTGTATGTAATGATTTAAGAATAAGAAATAAAACTATTATATCACATTCGTATATTACATATAAACATGTTTTATTGCCCAGTCCATTTATGTTTTCACATGAGATCAACCAAAATACATGACAAATATTTCATAAATATATACATGTATATTTACAATTTAAAATAAAATTATAATAGTACATAAAAATAAAAGTATATTTACTATTTATTGAGTTTTTTCTAAAGGTTTATTTTGTGCTATTCTGCCAGCCTAAAGAAACAGAATTTATTCATTGCATTAGAAAAAAATTTCTGCAATAAAACAATTATTTAATATAATATACATACAGTTTGAATCCTTAACATTTGATCTAAAGCATGTGGTAGTAATGGGCGCACACTATTAATTTCCATGGCAGTTAAATGATCTAATTTTGCATGTAAACCTTCACTTTTGAGGAATGCATCTATTGATGTACGAAGCTTTGACATTCTTATGTCCCATATATCCTAAAAATTAATTCATATATTAGTATTAAAAAAATATATAGATATGTATATTTTATATTACCTTGACTGCTGTCCTTATTGTGTCAGCATCTGTAATATCATCGCTTGCAACACTTAGTAATAGCTGTGCTTCATCCATATAATGATTACTAGGCATTTTTGTAAATAATCTAAAATAAGCTCTTCCTGTATTAGGTAGAAATATTTTATTAAATAAATCAAAGAAAAAATATTTTTACTTACTTTGACAATTTTTCTTCCTCTTTCGCATCGTTTAAACTCTCAACATCCATCCATTCTTGATTAATAATTCTACATTTTTGTTGTTGTTTCAAATTCACTGCCAACCAAATCGGAACTTTGACAGGTAAACCAGCTCGAAAGGGGCCCACTGAACCTGATATCAAATGAATCATGTCAAAACTAAAATTCGGCACAATGCTAACTAATTCTTTTTCACCAAGAAACTCCACTTCACTCGGATCCATTATTCAGTGTTTAATTTTTTATATTAAATTATATTTAGTGAAATAATCCTAACACTTCCTTAACAATACAGCAATCACATATGATGCGACGGTAAGACTAATTTTTGGCGGCAAACTCATGTAGCTTACTATGTATGGAGCGCTACCTGTTGCTAACTATAATAACTTTAAATGCGCTTACGACGCAAGCGTAATATTACACAGCCAAAGTCTTATACTTCGTTTGTGATATTAACAAGGAGAGTGTAAGTCCATAGGATTACCGTCTTAGTTGAAACTTTGCAGGTTTGTAGATATCGTCATGCAGTTTAATAAAATATATCATAGCGGCAACTACTCAATAGTTTTTAAAATATTTATGATTAAATTATTATTACTCCACAATTATAAATTTATTTCCAATATATTTTAACTCAATTTGTAGCGTAACGGCAACGATCGAGAAGTGTTAAAATGAATAACCGGGGTTCGAATCCCGTCCGTAGTTTTTTTAATATATTTTTTATTGTGTATTCATTTTTCGCCTATGAAAACGTTGTAAATACAAAATTATAAATAAAATTTCTTAATAAAAAAATTTATTTTTTATGCTTTCTTATGCTAGTATATATTTATTACGAAATAATAAGAATATTATGTAAGAAAAATACTTTTCTATAGCAATCTTATTTACTACAGGGAATACAAAATCTATCGTTCATGTAAGTATTAATTATTAAATTAAACATCCTATAAGAATGTTGCCCATAATTCCAACTTTGCTGTGCAACCATAAATGTTTATGAATTAATTGTAAAAACTTGGAAATTTATTAATTTTCTACCGCCGAATTGATTTCTAGTATCTAGTTCGAATCAAAGTTTTACCGCCGGCGATCAGCGCCATCTATAGTTTTGGATCATTTGCTCGGAAAAGTGATAGGAATATAGAATAGGCAAGGAGGTCGTCGACGAGCTGGTCACGTGGTAGACGAGGACAGAGAGGGGATAGAAAAGAATAGAATGGCTCCGGCAGTGAAAAATTATTAATTACTCAATTTCTGTAATTAATTTATGAACTTTTATAATTTCATTGCAAAGCTGGAACTTCAGGCTACATTCTTATATAATATTCGTAAAGAATTTAACTCTAAATTGTTAGTTATTAATTTTTGTTTTATGGCGTCTATGATTTCGTAACGGCG